TTGATGCGGATGAAGCTTGCCAGTTTTGGAGACGGATTGTGATATCATGGATACTATTAGAATGAGGTCAATGAGGACGATCGCTTTGTGACAGACATACGAATTTTTATCATGCCTTTATCAGAGAGACAGAGAGAGAGGGAGAATATGTTTATACAAATAATATGGGACGGCGGGATGGATGTAATATGCTCTGCGTAAACCCTGTCCCGCATTAGGTACCACAAGCACCGGTCACCGTCCTCGTCGAACCCGTCGCTTGCGACGAAGGGCTCGACGAGCGAATTAACCCATAGACACAGCCCACTGAGTTTCTCGCCGGATCTTGTCAGTGGGTCGCGTTTCCGATCCGGTGGTAGATTCTGCGAAGCACTGCTCTTGCTAGGGTCAGTGTTAGCAACACTCAGGTTTGAGCCCCGTGAGCTCACCCACACACGTTAGGGTGAAGCTGAAATTATAGCCTCTCAAGACTATTAGCATTGGTAGGTAAAAAAAATAATATAGCCTGTCCCGTCGTCTCAATAGCTCCGACTGGGTTCCCGCCCGGTCCGAGGTAGTGCGCCGGTTGTGAGCGGCAGGAGTTTTTAGTAAGGTTCAAATCTCACATACCGGAGCCGACGATATTCTCCAGTGGTAAAAAAAAACTATTAATATACTTTATGAAAAGACAAAGGTACAGCAGGTATGTTGCGGTGCAATATTAACAATACATTATTAAAGAAAATTTACTGGTAGTAGGACCTATTGTGAGTCCAGACGGGTAGGATTTTTTACGTCGACGACGACGACACACTACGAGTATACTATATACGGCACTATATAGTATACCGTAGTCTCAAAGCAGCTTTAGTCGCGCCGATGTTGGCAAGCCCGAGGTTGAATGGTGAAAGTGGTTATGATGATTCCTTGATATTATTTCGGTCTCACTGAAATGCCAGGACCTGTTCCGGGCGGCGTCCTCATGACGACCTTGCCGATTCCGTTTACGGTCATTTCAATGATACGCTATATTTTTAAACGATTCTATTTTTGGCGTTTTTCCTTATTTATTTTCGTTCGATGCGTTATTTTTTTTAAATGAATTAATTAATATTTAATTTTTCATTTTAATCATTAATTATAAAGATAAATGTCGCGTATTAAGCGAAAGGTCGCTTAAAGCGAATAGCCTTCCTTTTCTATTTTATTGTGATGTATACAATGAGATATATATAATATGTTAATATTCATGTTCAATCTCTATATATAAAAATGAATTGCTGTTCGTTAGTCTCGCTAAAACTCGAGAACGGCTGGACCGATTTGGCTAATTTTGGTCTTGAATTATTCGTGGAAGTCCAGGGAAGGTTTAGGTTAAAGGTGAGAAAGTATAAAAAAGCTCGGAATAATATAAAAACAAACAATTTTGTTTTTCCTTTGATGTGTCCCCTTGATGTGTCTTTTATTTATCGATTGAGGCACTACGAAGTCTGCCGGGTCAGCTAGTTAATTAAATAATTATTTTGCGTACAATAATAATTCGGTAAGGCACACACTGTGGGTAGACATTACGTTCTTGCCTATTTTTTCTAGACCTAACCGCAGCCACCGATTGAGCTGTTATAATTCTTATTTATATGTCCTTATAGTGATTTATAAAACGATGTTTGGTCTTATTCGCCAACATAATATCATTATACTCATTCGATAGTTTGCAGTTTTAGCTTCTTTTTTATTGCTTAGATGGGTGGACGAGCTCACAGCCCACCTGGTGTTAAGTGGTTAATGAAGCCCATAGACATCTACAACGTAAATGCGCCATCTACCTTGAGATATAAGTTCTAAGGTCTCAGTATAGCTACAACGGTTGCCCCACCCTTCAAACCGAAACGCATTACTGCTTCACGGCAGAAATAGGCAGGGTGGTGGTGCCCACTCGCGCGGACTCACAAGAGCTCCTACCACCAGTTCAGTGTATTTTCCTATATACTATCTGTGACCCAGAATCTTTCAATGTAATTTTTACCAACTATGAGATATCAGGCTAACTTGAAAATTTGCACAAATATAAAGAATCTATGACAATATAACACTTTAGTCTGACTTCTTCACCAAGAATAAAAAGCTTTCATTTTTACTTTGGCTTTCAATTTAGTTAAGTCATTTTTCTTACTTTTTTAAAGGATATTCAGTAGTTGCAACTGGAACAAACCTACCACCAGTAATTACGCAAATCCCCATGATCTGTAAGCGGAGTAAAATGTCCCTTCGGAACAAGGTGACACTTTACAAAACTTGCATAAGGCCTGTCATGACTTACGCGAGTGTGGTGTTCGCTCACGCGGCCCGCACACACATAGACACCCTCCAATCTCTACAATCCCGCTTTTGCAGGTTAGCCGTCGGAGCTCCGTGGTTCGTGAGGAACGTTGACCTACANGTACACCTTATCATTTTGTTTGTTGTAGCTCTCTTCTACGGTAAAAATTATTTCATCCGAAAAAAGAATTTCCCGATATTTTTTTCCCGCGTACCGCTTCAACAAAGCGCGGCATCTCTTCAGTCTCAGGTCCATTAGACGAGCATTCAAACGATGTCCTGTTTTTCTTCGATATGCCCGAAGCCCTAAGTCTTCATTTAACAACCTTTTCACCGTGGTTCTGCTTAACCCCATCTGAAGGGCCAACAGTTTCTGCTTACGTTTGGGATTTCTTTGAATTCGCGCCTTCACAGCTTTTATCACTGCTGGAGTCCTAACAGACCGAGAGCGACCACTTCTTGACCTGTCATCTACACTAGTCTTCATTGTATCGTTTGATAGTACGATAAACGAATCTTTTGGTTATATTCAAATTTTTCAGTATGTTAAAAATTTGAATTGGCGCGTAACCGCAACGATGCAACGCAATAACTGCAACACGGTCTTTTTTAAGCGTCCACTCCATATTTAAAAATGAGTAAAATTCTAAAAGTATACATTTTTATTTTCATGAACAATTCGAAATTTGAATTCAATAAACTTTTTTGTGGCCAGCATTCTAAAAGAAAAGTTTTTACTGTGTAACAATACTTATGACCTGACTAGTTATATATAGGTATGTTAATATTCATGTTCAATTAATTAAATAAATATTTTGCGTACAATAATAATTCGGTAAGGCACACACTGTGGGTAGACATTACGTTCTTGCCTATTTTTTCTAGACCTAACCGCAGCCACCGATTGAGCTGTTATAATTCTTATTTATATGTTCTTATAGTGATTTATAAAACGATGTTTGGTCTTATTCGCCAACGTAATATCATTATACTCATTCGCTAGTTTGCAGTTTTAGCTTCTTTTTTATTGCTTAGATGGGTGGACGAGCTCACAGTCCACCTAGTGCTAAGTGGTCACTGGAGCCCATAGACATCTACAACGTAAGTGCACCACCCACCTTGAGATATAAGTTCTAAGGTCTCAGTATAGCTACAACGGTTGCCCCACCCTTCAAACCGAAACGCATTACTGCTTCACGGCAGAAATAGGCAGGGTGGTGGTGCCCACCCGCGCGGACTCACAAGAACTCCTCCCACCAGTTCAGTGTATTTTCCTATATACTATCTGTGACCCAGAATCTTTCAATGTAAATTTTACCAACTATGAGATATCAGGCTAACTTGAAAATTTGCACAAATATAAAGAATCTATGACAATATAACACTTTAGTGTGACTTCTTCACCAAGAATAAAAAGCTTTCATTTTTACTTTGGCTTTCAATTTAGTTAAGTCATTTTTCTTACTTTTTTAAAGGATATTCAGTAGTTGCAACTGGAACAAACCTACCACCAGTAATTACGCAAATTATAATTCTGCGGGTTTGATTTTTTTTACTTAGTCCATTATATTTCCAAAGTTTAAAAATCAGAGAGCACGCAGTACAGTTCCCCAGACCGGTAATTCGGGATTCTATCAGTTAAATGTGACTTAAATTTTTTTAAGCAAAAAGTAGGGTAGTGTAGTTTGTAGGTTTTTTTTAAGGACCATGCCGGACTTCTATGACCAGACTTGTTCTATGAGATCGAAATCTCAACTGTATTCTCGCAAAAAACACACCGGCACGTCTGCTTCATTCGCAGTCGCATCGCTTGATGTGGTCAGTGGTATAGCTTTTGTATCGTCGAGACATGAAAAACCCTGTAGTCCTGGCCGCCTGTGGACCGAATGGTAAACAGTCAACGTCGCCCTGAACACGTCATTACGGATCCTCCCGATCCACTAACGGTGCTTTTAGGTACCACAAGCATTGGTCACCGCCCTCGCCGAACCCGTCGCTTGGGAAGAAGGGTTCGACGAGTAAATTAACCCTCAGACACAGACCAGTGAGTTTCTCGCCGGATCTTCTCAGTGGATCGCGTTTCCGATCCGGTGGTAGATTCTGCGAAGCACTGCTCTTACTAGGGCCAGTGTTAGCAACACTCCCGGTTTGAGCCCCGCGAGCTCACCTCCTAGTTCGGTGAATCTATAATAACCCGTCGAGGTTACTAGAATAGGTAGGTAAACAAAAAATCGTCGAGTATCCCCAACGTATTTACACAGACTAGTAGTCCCGCAGTAGTCGAAATTCGACTACAATTGAAATTATAAATTTGTTAGACTAATATGATTTTATTGTCAAAAACTATTATTATACTTCTATAACCACAGATTTCACGAAGACTACACTATAGACAAATAATATTAAAGACAAACAGTATGTACATATTAATCTATTCTCAATTTGTCCACAGACTATAAGCAATAAGAATAGTTTGACAATAAACAAATAATATGCATGCGTGTGTGTGTCAAATACGTGGTAGTATGTGTAATGTTTTTATTCATTGATTCAATGTATTATTTATGCATAATTTAAAAAAATATATTAACGTTCTGCACTCCTTCTCTATATTCTCTGTAAGTCTGGAGAATTTCATACTCCTCCGTTCGCGCGGTTTCCGTAAAAAGGGATACAAAGTTAACGTATTAATAGATACTCACCAGTCTCTAAGAGCTGAGCGAACATGCTCTGGACATTCGAGTGGTGGTGCTTCCAACGCAGGCAGTACTGTTGCGGCGTCATCTTCGTCAGACCCGATCCTCCTTGGTCCACACGCTTCTAGGCGTCCACTTAAACCGATTAAACTAGCTTTGGTATAGAAGTCAATAGCGCTTCCTTGTTTTGGTTTGGTTCTTTTGGTCGAATTTTGATATATATATAGATATATTTTTTTTTTTTTTAAACTAAATTATGAGTATTATAAAAGTGGAATGTGGCTTCGTCTTTGGCGGGCGCGTTGTTACCTGGAACAATTGAAAGGTGTTTAATTCGAGGGCTCATTCGGAATAATGTTGCACAGAATTGGTATTGTTACGTCGGTAAGAGTAACGCCATCTATCGCCGAATAGCCGAAACGAATATCGAAGGAACTCGTAACGTTGAGAAAGGTTGTGAAGTACAACGCCATCTGTTGTCAGATAGCGGAAACACACAATACTCGACTTGTGAGGAATGATTTCGACGATTCTAGGGATTTCGTCTCGACTATAATCAGAACTACTCGAAGCGAAAAATGCGAACGGATCACCTAAAGCTAAGCGGAAGAAGCGAATTGAAAATTTTAAGTGTTTGTGAAGTGTTTTAAGTGTTCTAATTGGTAATACAGTGTTAACTTGTAATTCAGTAGAATTTTATTTATTCCGATCCCCAGCGCGTAACAGTATTTACAAAGGTGGGAGTTAGTTGCAAACGAATCTATACCAGTCTAGAGTTGAAATTGAGATTTCGGGGGCTTTTATTATATATACTAAGATCAGTATTGTTTCGAATGCGCTTTTATCAGATCGGCCTGCATCTATACATCTATGTAACGGAATCTTTGAACGTCATTTTATTAGACTTGAAGACGTCCTATTGACTTGACAATTTGCACATGCGCCTCGAGGACCGATGGCGATACATTAATTTTATTACCTTGACCCAATGTCGCGAAAAGGATAAAAAGGATTTTTTTTTATTGCTTAGATAGATGCGACGAGCTCACATCCCACCTGGCGTTAAGTGGTTACTGGAACCCATAGACATTTACAAAGTAAATGCCACCACCCACCTCGAGATATGAGTTCTAAGGTCTCAGTATAGTTACAACGGCTGCCCCACCCTTCAAACCGAAACGCATTACTACTTCACGGCAGGAATAGACAGGGCGGTGGTACCTACCCATGCAGACTCACAAGAGGTCCTACCACCAGTAATTATGCAAATTATAATTTTGCGTGAACATTTGTTGAGTACGTATTTCATTAGAAAAATTGGTACCCGCCTGGGATTCGAACACCGGTGCATCGCTTCAACACGAATGCACCGGACGTCTTATCTCTTAAGCCACGACAACTTATGTATGTATTATTCGTCCTATTTAATTCGAGGATACGTCCAATATGAAGTCAAGTCAAATTTAGTTGATCGGTCTATTATGATAATACAAGTACGTCTCTATTTAAATCTGAGCTGTTCGTTGATTTGTTCATATAAATACGACACAAGTACGTACGAACAGCAAACAGAAATGTTTCCTTAACTTGTCAAACAATCAACTTTTTGTTTGTCCAGAGACGGATTCAGAGATTGGGATAATTGAGACCCAAAATATACATATATTACATTTTAATTTGAAAGACGAATGCTAGATTTAAAAGCGCAATTCGCACGCCAAACTTTCAGTAAGCTTTAAAAAGGTGAAATATGTATAAACATAAATGTATAAAATAAAACCGATTGTTGGCGTGGCGACGCGTCGCCGTGCTAAATGTTATTTTACTTATTTACTTATTTAAATAAAAAAAAACAAAATATTTGAGAAAAAACAAAAAAAAACCCGCTGAGTTTGTTTCGCCGGTTCTTCTCAGGACTGTGGCTTTTTTTGGAACCGGTGGTAGAGTTAACATTGTTATTTATATTTTGACATTCAACAAGTGTGTTACTCGTATACTGACATCTAAGTTAAAATAAATTATTTTGAATTTTGAATTTTTTTGAATTTTATCGTGGGGTGAAAGGGTAGGTATTTGGTTTAAGCGAAAATTTACAGGAAAGCCATTTAAAGTTTAAAAGTTAGAAAAAATATCATAACAAAAAACTTTATTCAGCTATTTGAACGAAAGTAAACTTAACACGTTGACTGCCGTGCAGGTCAGCGGTGCCCTACGTGGGGCACTAAAGTATTATAATTATGTTGATTTCTGTCTTCGATCTTCTCACTAAGGCACCGGAATATCTAGTAGATGAATAAACTTTTATGAACATTTATCGCAGGATCTTATGAAGTATATACATGAAAAGGACTCCACGAAGTTTCAAATTTATAGACCAATTATTTATACCTTTCATCCCATTATTTATGCCAACGGAGATTAGAAATTTTTTTGATACTTAACAATTGATTAACTTTTTGAAAAATGGAGATAAAACTTATTTTCCAATGGGACTCAAATCTTTCAAGTGTTAAGAAGATACTAGAATTTTTTCAAACTTTTAAAATGGCATTTTATGTTATAAAAACGTACGGACGTTACGAGTACGGACTTTTTTATTGGAAATTCCCTCCTCATGAACGAGCTTTTTTCAAAATTCCTTAAATATTAATATTTTTCGAGTTTTTAACGATAAACTAAATATCATTTTATTATCATCTTATTTTGTTAATAACAATTGCAATGTTTTACCTGCACCAAAATCCTTTAAAAACATTTTTCTAGAGGTGATTCCCAATCCAATGAGCTATCGCTCATATTTTAAGGACCTTTATCTCTATTTTTTACGTTTTTGAACTTGTCGACTAGACTATATACGACAAAGCTAAGAACATCAACATAGCGAATTTAATAACAAGCCTTTATCTATGAAGTTGCCATTTCAAGAATACTGACCATTTGAAACGTAATCTATGTATAGATTGGCAATAAATTCTTAATTTAAAATGTATTATTTTAAAATTATGGAATTATATTTTCAAATTCGTGTCATTTGTTTTTTTTATTTTGTTTTGGCTACATTTGAATATTTTATGTCAATATGCACTCGATAAAAATATGAGTATTTATAGAAAGCGGGTTCCGTAGCGGTAGCAATTCCGCACAATCGGCTCAAGACATTATTGGCGTGACCACTACAAAGGAATGCACGACTCTATATTGGTTTGAAGGCTTCCGACATGGAAATTTTGATTTAAATAAATAATAGTTTAAAAAAACTAAGAAAATATGATTTTAACTTTTTTAAACAATAATTATTAACTAATTTTAAAACTAATTTTTAAACTATTATTTATTTTTCATTTTTTAGTTGAATTTCAATTTTTTCAATATATTTTTTTTATATTGAATTGTCATCTGTCCTTAATCAGTATACCAAATTTCGAGTTAATCCGACGCTTTAAAGGGGGTCAAAATCATGTTCAAAGATTCCGTTACAAACATACATACGTCTGAAGCTAATAAAAGCGTATTAAAAATGAACCCTATCATCGCACGAAAACTGAAATCAGCAACGAGGAATTAAAGGCGATAGTGGAAGCTGACGATACTCAATCTACCGCTGAGTTAGTAACAGCTTTCAAAGTTAGCATCAAAACAAATATTAGTCTATTTGCGTCAAATTGGCAAGGTAAACAAACTTGATATGTGGGTACCGCACGATCGCAAGCGCGACGAACTCGTCAAGGTATGCCTTGCGTCGCTAAACAGACGCAGAGACGAGGAAATTTTGAAGCGCATTGTCGCTTCTGATAAAGAATGTGTTCTTTTTGATAATCGCATGCAGTCATAACGTTGATTAAACCCGGATTCAACACGTAGGCATTGCCCCTAATGAAAACTTACGCCTAAAACAATCATGGTCACAATTTTTGCCTACCTATTCACTTGTAGCCTAAGTGGCTATTCCAGCTGCGCGCGGGTTAGGTGAGCTCACGGTCTCCAACAGGGAGAATTTTCTAATAGCGATCCCAGCAAGATCAGTGCTTTGATTCAACACCTGAGAGTCTGCAACAAATGCTTCTGAGGAGTTTGTTGGCTCTCGCACGCCGGTCCTCTTTAGGAAGGGTACTTAAAATTCCCACTGCGCTGGCAAATATGCATCAATACTCTGAGTGCACATTTTGCTTGATTGAACAAAATAATTATTATAAAATGACGACTTTTGTATAATTTTCGGCATGTTAAACGGAAACATAGATTTGCATTCAAAGTTAGCATTTGAAACCTTCAGCGGTAGATTGAGTATCGTCAGCTTCCATTATCGCCTTTAATTCGTCATTGTTGATTTTAGTTTTCGTGGGGTAGACGACGGGGTTTATTTTTTACGTCCAAATTTCCATGTCGGAAACAATATAGTCGTGCGTTCGTTTGTAACACGTAGTGTTCACGTAATTAATGTCTTGAGTCGTTTTTGCGGAATTGCTACCGCTACGGAACCCATATTCTATAAATACTCATATTTTTATCGTGTGCATATTGACGTAAAATATACAAATGTAGCCAAAACAAAATAAAAAAAACAAATGACACGAATTTGAAAATATAATGCCATAATTTTAAAATAAAAAATGACATTTTAATTTAGAATTTATTGCCGATCATGCATAAATTACGTTTGAAATGGCCAGTATTCTTAAAATGGCAAACTTCATACTAAAGACTTGTTATTAAATTTGCTATGTGGATGTTCTTAGCTTTGTGGTATTGAAGGCTTGCAAAGGTATCCAACTTAATTAATTGAAACTTCAGCCTCAGGTCTGAAAAGAAGATAGCGGAGCTTATGTTATGTCTAGGGGATTTTATAAGTACTGAAGTCGTCGTGGCCTAAAGGATAAGACGTCAAGTGCATTCGTATCTAGCGATGCACCGGTGTTCGAATCCCGCAGACGGGTACCAATTTTTCTAATGCAATACGTACTTAACAATTGTTCACGATTGACTTGTTCCATAATTGATAATTATGCAATAATATGTGTGTTTCTAATCATATGATCAGCACTGTATATACTTAGAGGCAAGTCTAAGTAATTTCTTCGGTTCATAACAACTCATATATGTACAAATGTATATTTCCCACAGCTCGGCCAAACGAATCTAAAACGTAGGCTAACGTTCCAACTCCACACAAATTTGCGTTAACTTTTACGCTATCGAGAACGTTAAAAAGCACGCACTAAGCACACCCCGGCCCCAAAGTCAAATCCGTTAATCTATGGGAACTGGAACTGACAAACTTACTTTATATACGTTTTTGGCCAATCGACTGA